ACTTGGAAGAAAATCCAAGTTCCAGATGGGATTTGAACCCATGACCCTCCATGATCTAGCTGGATGCCCTAACCACTGAGCTGCTGGAGACTCTCTGGCGAGCAAGAGTGAAATGTGGTCTTTGACAGGGACTGCATCGCACGGTCACACAGCCAAATAATGACAACATAGAGCTCAGTTCATGCTATTTCTATCATATCTACCATCTCATCTGGGTACTTAAGGCTATAAGCTGGCTAAAATCATCTCATATCTAACAAGGGCAATGGGAATAGCTGTTTTATTAAACACGCTCCTCAAAATCTAGAAAACTAAGCTAAAATAGAAACGCCCTAAAATATGCATACACTAACCATATTTGTAGAGCATGGTATAATTGCTCATAACCCATGATGGCTAAGCCAATGAAAACTTTTGAATTGCATTATCCAATGATCCAGTTTTTGATAGTCACTGGCATTAAATAATCACTGGGCTATTCGGGGAAGGGGGGGTACTCCAAGAAAAGTTGGGTGGGGGTGTGCTTCCCACTTCCCAAACCCCTTACCCTATTTTAATTTATGACCAAAATCTGCAATTTTTACTACCCTATGTATCACCTGACCAAAAATTTGATACCCTATTTATGACTATTGCAGCTGGCACAGTTGCCCTTAACTTAAGTTATGAAGGCCTTTTGTTGATGGTCTTATCGATAATGATGAAAAAGTAGCTTCTTCTAAGAAACATACCCAATTCAAGACTAGAGTGCAAAAAACATACCCTATTTAAGACCAAAATAGCCAAAATCCATACCTTATTTATGACCAAAACGGCTGAAAATCATACTCTTTAGGGCCGCACATACAAATATAGCCCATATAAGGAAAAAGTACCCCCACCCTCACCCCCCCAGGGGGGGACAGGCACCTCAAAAGGTTTTCATATTATTGGTGTTTACTGGGAAATTAGGCTATAGTAAAAACCCAGGTATAAGATCCTAGTGATTTATGAACCTAAAGGCCAAAATTTGGCATTTAAATACCCAAAAATAAAAAAAACCTGCCCAGCCTGGCAAAGAAAAATAGGTTCCTATACAAAAAAATCACTCCAATTTTGATGGTCTAAATTCTGGATTTTAATTGTGTGAGAAACGTTTGACAAAAGTTATTGTGTATAATTATGTTTTCTTTGATTAACACTTTTTGGGGATTTTCACTAGAAATACATTTTCCATAAAGCTACAGTGCATTACAGACAATTTAAAATATAAATAAATATCTGATAAAATAAAATATATTTCTAAATGTAGTGATGTTCTTCTTGGACCTTGATTGTGTTATCATGTCAACACCCAGTTTTGTCCATGTGAAATAAAAAATGTATATTTAAAACCTCTGAAAAATAAGAACCTAAGGGACTGGTCAAAACGTACAGGGGGGTGGGCCGGAGCATTTGAAAATGTGGTCGTCCGAAAACACGACTCACCTCTTCCATTTGGCACAAAACTGAGTGAGCCACCCCTAAATGAAGGTTGAAAATCACATGACCCATGCCGTATAAAACATGACATTTTTACTCGCATAATCGAACAAAATCACATTTTGTGTGTGAAATTGTGGCATTATTTACGTTTTAGGTTTATTTCTTA